TAATATCGATATATTTTTGTCAAATTTTTATGATATCGTCAAACATATATTTTATTCAAAAATAAAAACATCATCGCTTTCTCAAAATCACATAAAGTCATATTATAACATCGATTGAGATAAAGAATAAAATAAAATATTAAAAACACGATGTATCTCGCTGCATTGCGCGAGTACTCTTCTAGTATATATATATATATATATACACACAAACACACGTAGGGAAAGGTTTATTTGTCAAGTGGCAAGTATTTGGAAAGTAAAAAATTGATCATATCCCTTCATCTGGTTAACGTTTGTTGTTTTGACTATGAAACATCGGATCATTCCTCGCATAGGAATTCAAATCCGTTTGGCTTGTAGGAATGGTAAGGATTTAGGGGATTTGGAATTTAAATCCATTTCAATCTTGTTTTTTGTTTGTAGGATTGCTCAGATTTGAGATTCTAAGATTTCTTTGAAATCCCTCAAACATGATGATTGGGATTCCATGGGATTTCGTAGGATTTGTATATAATAATGTTTAAAACATTCGTTTTCTAATAATCAACTAATAAAAAAGTAATTTAATTCTTTTTATACATAATGGAATTCAATTTCATTCCAAATCCTACAAAGATATTAAAGATTTCAAATCCAAATCCCTCCAATTTCAAATCCTTTGACAAAATCCAAATCCCTCAAAATCAGTTCATCAAACCGAACTCCTCGTTAGGGTTTTTGGGATTCTTTTTACTTAAGCTATAGAACTATTTGGTTTGGTTCATTGAATATGATTTCGGAATCGTAATAAAACAATATACGAAGATGATAATAACTGGTGGTGGTGGTGGTGGTGGTGCTGGTGGTAGTGGAGGTGGCGGCGGCAACAATGGTGGTGGTAGAGGTGGGGGCTACGGTGGAGGTGACAGCAACAACGACAATAGTGGTGGTAGCAGGTGATGAAGCGATGCCTATTGATTAAATTGGATTCAGAGGATATTTTTGTCTTTTTTTCTTAAATCAGATTATACGAATGGAATTCAAAATTTCTATCAAATCCTTCGACCACGAAATACAACCGAATCCAATCCATTCAATTAATTGGTCTGAAAGTGTAATTTTATTACTGATCTGAATCTGATTGTTCAATTTCTCAGCAATGAGCCAAGAATAAACAGGTATGTCAAATACTATTCTATCTGTTTCTAACCATAGAATCAATTTATTCACAAATGAATGGTAACATCATGATGATCCTCAGGCATATGATTCAGGTTGAAGCTCAGCAGCCCAGATTGTGAATCATACAAAAACTCAACCTCACTTGCTCCAACCATGCACCTTCCCGGCTTAGTCATTGAGTACGCACCAAACCGTCCGCACCCCTTGACTTTCATCGAGACACTAGCCGAACACCCATCTCTTTCGACCAAATACTTTAGCTCTTCAATGGCTCCACCACTGTTGAACATCTCGATAAGCCCTATCGGACCAAAACTTACCCCCGAAAACAAGACCTCGATGGGTGTAACCGTATAGATTTCATGCTCCAGAACATTTAGCGAAACTGGTATGACCGCACTTTGAGGTAAAGTAACGAGATCTCCGGCGTGGTGACGGTAAACAGCGTAGTTTCCAGACCAATCGGGGCCCACTACAGCTTCGGCTATGAGGTGGACATCATGAGCCCGGATGAAGCCTGTTACGGGATCGGGTTGGGTATGGTGGAAAGTGTTTTCCCGTTCGATGGAGTTCCATGCAGCTCCTTGACAGTTATAGACGCCAAGAACTCCAGTGTACTTGTTCATGTTCCATATCTTCAACAAGCTCACACCATCACGGGCTGGATCAGTGAATAAGCAATCTTTCGTGGGTCGACCGGGCAATCGGGCTCGGAGCACAGAACCATCAGGCAACACAAGTTTCTTCAGCAGATCAAAATTGTGCTTCCCAGGAGCATCACTGTCAAGAAAGATTCAAAATAAGCCACACTTGATCCTAACCAAATATGTCTAAATGTCTTAATAGACTGCTTTACAAGACTTTAAGTATGGTTTCTGCACCTCACGTATATAGGGCCACCGCTGATTGCTCTAGCAGATGCATGGTACTCGGCTGCCGGATGAAGGGAATGGAACATGTCCCAATCGGGCTGCATAAATTCTCCAAGAAAAACACTATTATACGCCACGGATGCAATATGGATTGTATGCGATATTGGATCAAGAGGGTAGAAATCATCCGAAGCCCGAACCACAGCTGTCTGTCGTGAACTGCTTACACAGTAAACACATCAGAAATCTCGATTCATATATACGTAGAAATGGTATATATGAAAACACAAAAAAATAGATGGTATAACAATATGGATGTTTGATAAAAGTGAATACCAGTAAAGGGAATCAGTATTGTGACTCATGCAGGCAATGCAGCCATTATCAGGGAAATTTCTAGCAATTGAGGCCTCAAGTGCCTGATGGTACTGTTGGGTGACCGCAACCCGACCGCCCAAACCGGTTCCGAGGGTCTCCAGAATGGATTGCACATCAACCTTCACCCCATCCACACCGGCAGCGGCTAGGTACCAATGTAAATTGTCGTAAAAGTTGAAAACTTTTTTGGGATTCATTAGCCCCAGACCTTGTACAGCCAACATATCTGTTTTCCATCCTGGCTCGTTCGCCACAACCCCTTTGGACACCAAAGGATACTTCATCACCGCCTCGTATTCCTCCATTCCCTCTGCCCCAGGGCGAACCCCGCCCCAATATCCTACGATTGCATGCCACACGTACACGTATTTCAGCCCGTATTTCTGTTTCGCAATATCGACTATGTTCTTGATCCCAATTGTGGGATCATTCTTGCTTTGGAACTTTTGGTTTTCTTTAATCCCAGTTAGCCTCATCAATGGTTTTTGTGATTTAGATTCCAAGTCCCCTTCGACTGACTGCCACCCGTCATCGATGATGACAAACTTAGCTGGGGTTCCACCCTCGGCTAAACTTTTTAGCCCAGACTCGACCCCTTCTTGAGTCACGTCTTGATAAAAAGCATCCCAAGTGCACCACCCGAAATAATCAAGAATCCCAGGGGATTTCTTGTCTTGACGTTGCTTGAACGTCTGGAGATGCAATTTCACTGTGTTAATTGCATCTGTGATTGTACAAAAGGGGTCCGTTCCTACACCCACATAAACGGTGTGCGAAAAAACAGACCCCTTTGTCTCAGAATCACCACTTTCGAGATAAACCTCGAGCTCGTCCCTAGAATTACCCTGGAGACAAGCTCGAAAAGATTCTTCAATCAATGGCAGAAAAACAACATACATTTTTTCAGTTTCTCCAATTGTTTCCATTAATAGAAACTGTGTTTCCAATGGGATTTCACTTCCTTTATCACCCATCTTCTGAGCCATCCACCATAGTTTGAACCTGAAACAAGCCATGAATCGAACATCATGAAGCTTCCCCAGCGACACCACATGATGACTATTCTCGTCGTCAAAAAACGCCCCGATGAAAGCCCCATCTGTATGACCCGACTCCGACCCGGATGAGGTAATCACGTTCTCCGACACGTCCGTCAAGATAGTCCGGTCCTTCACCACCAATCTCCGCCCTGAAACCTGAACCACCGAACCGATTGTCATTGAACCTTGCTTTTGATCTCTTGTATCCTCTTCTTCGATGTAATCCAACACTGATTCACTCTTCTGCAAACAACCAAATCAGTGAAATCGCCTTCAAAACCAGATTTATAAACGAAGAAATGAGGGAAAGAGAAGGTACCTGATTACAAGATGATATGAATGTTCTTCGATTTCGACAAGAACTGGATGTGATTAATGGATAATGATGAGAGAAAATCGTGGATGATGAGATTGAAAACAGGGGTGGATGCGTATTTATAGGGGGGTATAAAGATGGGGAAATAGATATTAAATTGGGCGTATGGATCGCCATTGCTGAAGCTTTTTTAAGTCTCTGTCTCTGCAGTTTCTTCTCTGTATCACGTAGGATCTGAGTTGGTTTTCTTGCCAATTGGAAATTGTTCAAAATAGCCCTTGTACTTCTATGGCTTGTCATTTCAGGTCCTTGAAGTTGTGATAAAAGCCTTCAGGTCCATGTTGGACTATTAAACTAGTTTTCATTATATAGTTTATTACCCTTGCTGCAAATAAAAAGTGAAGGGATTACACTTCAAGTTAAAAGGTTGCACAATTTGGTACAAAAATTTCATTTGAAGTTATAAAGTACGTCCGAAAATAAACATAAATCAGTATACCAATATGTAGGTGCATAATGCATTTACTGCATGTTAAGCATGTACAATGTAGCTATTGCAACTACATTTGGGTAGCTAAAATGAGTAACGATACAAAATATTTGTGTTTTCTTAGGTGAAGGTTCAAATGAGAAATGTAAAAAGATTGAGAAGGTGAGAAGGAAATGATTCATATGTAAATTATCGATAAAGATTTTCTTTTTATTCACATATGAATCTTCAAAGAATTTAATGGTTTTTATTTTTTAGGAGTTTTTGTCAAATGTTTTGTAATATAGTATAGACTATAAATTTGCCTACTAATTTCCATTGCAATAATATAATCCATGACCCATTTTATCATTCGATTTTGAAATGATTTATGATGGTTTTATGTCCTTATATCAACATCCGGGGACTATTTGGGACTTAACTAAACAAGAAGGGGGTAAATTGCAATTTATCAGAAGTTAGTAGATCAATCCTATAAAAAAAGTGTAGATGGAATTGACACGTTGGATCTACGTTTCAGCCAATCCAGACATAAAATTAAAATAAAATAAAATAAAAACTGTTTTTTTAATATTATTAATCATATTTAAAATAAAAAAATTATGAGTTCATGGTTTATGTTGTAATTATATCAGTATTTTTTTAAATAATCACTAATTATTAAAATTACTAATAAAGTTTTTTTAGCTTTTATTCTTTAGACTTATTTTTAAGGAATTACTTTTTATTTTCGAAACCTTTTTTTATCATAAATTTGACAATAAATTGGTGTCGAAAAAAGTAGGTTATTATCGTACCTATTGGGATCCTTTTCAATACCCCACTTATTCGATCACCAAACCCATTTAAACAATACAATTTATATGTGTTCAACAACTTGTCCATAAACCAAGCAATAACGACAATCAAAAAAACAAGTTAAGACAATGACAATATCGTGAACCAAGTCTCATCCAGAAACAACTTGTTAACAATTATTGACACAGTTCCCGTTCGTTTAGGGTACTTCGCATATGCCATTGCTAAGTCGCAAACCAAGGCGTCAAAATCAGTGTGACATCAGAGACAACGGACATGTTGTGTGCCATACCGGCAAAGCGAGTTGCATACACTACTCTAAATAGACTTGGTACATTGGTGAATGTGTCACATGTATTAACCTCAAGTATAACTCGCGTATTTTAATGCCATGACCCTTCCATCAGATCAATCTTAGTACAGAGGTGGACATATCACTTAGAAAGGCACGCTCCCATCCATCTCTTTCTTACTTTTGCATTCGAGTGCCGGGTCGTAGGCATACGACAAAACGTTATTCATGCAATAATTTCCAAAACATGTTTACGCTCTCAATGTGAACATGTGCAAAATTTCGCACTAAATGTATCGTATAATCGTTTAAAATACAATAAACTTACACTTATGAACACAAAAAAATTGTTATTGAATAACCACAAAGGGTGGTGCCTGATTGGTTTGAGCTTGGCTCCAAATGTCAAAAGTATCAGGAGATCCCAAGTTCAAATCCAAGGAGGAATAAAAATCCCCTTGTGGCCACGGAGGTTCAAATGTGGTGACTTCGGGTTATCTGCAAAGCAGGTGGTCGCCTTGGGATTAATCGGCTCGCATAGCGAGTTGGATATCCAGGTTAATCAAAAAAAATTGTTATTGAAAATGTATTTTAGCATGGATCCAGTTAAAACTTAAAAATACGTATAAACTCACATCAGATAGAGTTAAAACCTAAAAATACGCATGAAATCACCTTAACGTACATCTTAACGTACATAACAATCCACCAAAATCCTATTGGTCCTGTTTGGTTTGCAGAATTCATATGGAATTTTGTGGGAATTGGAATTGCTGATTTCCTTAACCAAATTCTATTCAGTTGTTTGGTTTATACATGAAACGGAATTGAATTCCATATACTACGACGTTCAGGGATTTCAAATACATATGCACATTCCCGTTGTCTTTGGACTCATGGATCCTTCGTCCCCCGTCGCCACCACCATCACCACATCATCGTCAACCAAGCACGTGGCCAAACTTCACTGAATTCCATTCAAATACCAAATTCTTTGATGGATTCCAGTTTCAACAAATTCTATTATATTTATCAAATGCCTTCTAAGTATCTTAAAATACTCGTATCCATACTTATTATAATTCCTTAAACTTTTTACTACGATTTAGTTATGAATACTAAGGGGACGTTTATCAAATACTTACCCGGTAAGTGTTTAGCGATAAAATTTAAACTATTATTTATTTACAGGGTAAGATCTTAGTCCACCAAAACAACACCGTATGCAATAATTTACCCGATAAGTGCTTACGGTGGTAAGAGTCGTTGCCCTCACTTACCGGGTAAGACTCTTGGTTCTTGTCTCGCTCTTACCATATAAGATTCTTGGTCCTTACCAAATTTATCCGGAAAGGTAATGTAACTTGGTAAGCGTTTACCCGCGTAAGCGTTTGGTAAACGACCCCTAAATCCGTAAAACCTAAATACGGTTATTTTCATTTGTCTTTTCCTTAATTTCACAACTACTATTTTTATAATTAATTTGTTGAAATAGTTTTTCTCAATATTTCATTATTGTCACACTTTTTTTTAGCTATGTGCATAATTATATCAGAAAACAATTTATTTTATAACAAAATTACGATTTTAAGCAAAAACTCAACGAAAATACATTTCATAAGACTATAGCTAAGAGAGTGTTTGGGATTGCTTATTTAAAACAACTTATGTTTTTTTTGTAAAAATGCTTATTAACTTATGTGGTATCAAACCGGAGTTTTGCAAAAAAATGTTTGGATTAGCTTATAGCGGTACCAAAAAACAATAAGCTGATAAGTTGTTTTTTAGTGTTAGACAAATTTTGCTTATATATGTAAAATGACCAAAAATGACAGTCTTCCATATTATTGATTTATGAGAGTGTTTAGGATTGCTTATTAACTTATTTGATTTTTTAACATGTAAAAATTTATTTTTCATTATTTATAATAATATCTTTGACAAAAAATTATAGCAATAAGATTAATAATTAACAAACATTAATAAAAACATGGTTAATATGGTAAACTGGTAATAAGCAGTTTTTCATAAGTCAGGAAGGATTAACTTATAAAAAATTGCTTATTACCGGTTTGACACCAGGATAAGCAGTTTTATTTTTCCTCATCCAAACACTAGCATTTAGCTTATTACCTGTGACAGACTGAAATAAGTCAAAAAACACTTAAAGTAAACAATCTCAAACACCCCCTAAATAGACATTTCGTAATTTTCCTAAGAACAAATATCTAAAATAATATAAAATATCAAATCTCGAGGATCGTAATTTTCCTAAAAATTGAAATATCGTAAATATATTAAACGTTTGGGACGTTTACGTAATTCACACAATTAAAGCGTGGTCAAAATCCAAATAATAAAACTTTCAAAGCCATTGAAAAGTGGTCCGACTTTTGGATAGCTTTTTAGATTAGCAGAGTTACACGTAAGTGGATTCAAATATTATATCGTTAAAAAAATATTAACAATTTCTTTGAATAAACCTTTAATTATTATATGAGATACTAGTTGTGTATCCGTGCAATGTAGTGCGAGACGTGAATTTTAATGATTTTGAAGTTTCATTGGTTTTATTAGAGAAGATTTAACGATGATATAAGTTATATTTGGTATTTACATATTAATATAATTTGAATAAATAAGAGTTATAGTTCCAATTACAGTTTATCGATGAAAAAAATTGTATGATAGTTTAAAATCCAACATATTTAACGACTCCATAAATGTGTTCGATTTACACGAAGAGCAAAGAATCAAGATATCGAGAGCGAGACAAAAAGTTGTAGAACAATTGAATGGTAGATGAATGAGAGAACTTTTAATAACTCATGGTTAATATTAGTTTGAATCTCACATTGGGGGATGAGAAGAAGACATAGAGGTATGGGAGGACGAAGACATAGAGGTATGAGAGGATGAAGACATGAGTTAAAGTTGTTAAAAATATATTGAGAACATGGGGAAAAAAATAACGTGCATAGATAACTTCCATTATATGTTATTTTAATTGTAGATTAAGAGATTTTAAGACTGAATACATAAAATAATAATTATTGATGCATTTAGTTGTTTTTAAGACTTTTAAAACTTTGTATATAATGTATAATACTTTGTGTATTAAAAATTATTTTTAATACTTTTGATAAATCTAGTTTATAAGACAACATAAATATAGATAATATAATAAATGAATTAATATAAAAGCAAATTAAAAAAACCAACAAGGGGTGATCCAGAACCCAATCAAAAATCCGTTTTAGAACCCTAACCATTTCAAGCTCAACTTGGCTCTTATCTGTGTTGTTTTCCCTCAAACTTTCTGCATGCTCACATGGGCGATAGATCTATCGACATTTTTGGTTGAAGAATTATCATGTTTCATCCACTATAGCTGCTTAATTTCTACTTTGAAGTTTCATCTAGGGGACACACCACAGTGGCGTTTTCATCAAAATCGAGGGCCTTGCGGACATTTATGGCTTGCGACACCACACAGATTCGATAGTATGCAGAAAAACGAAGCTAA